CTTACGACTCGTGTGGTGGAAATCATTGTACGTCTGGAACGTGAATTCGGAAGTTTTGGAAAAGAATATTACTTTGCTGTTTTATTTTTGTGTTTGAGTTTATGGGTAGCTGGATAAATATATATTGGTAGATGTATGGTTTGGTTACTGAATGTATGAAGTGACCTGTATTGAATTAACACTAAAACTACCAGATGGATCAAACTATCCCATTTCTGATGTCTGCTTTTTGCAATTATTAAAAAGATAACAGATGTTTCTCTGAGAAATTGTTAAAGAAATTGATTTAGCAATACGTAAACTGAATTGTAAATTAATCGAAATCTCGATAGATGCACTATTAGGGTTTCTATAGAGAAATTTCAATGTATAGGATTGGAATCAAAATAGTGAGAATGGTTTTTATTTTATTTTGATTATTTAATTAGAATTATGTAATTGGAGTGTTAATGGATGTCTAGTGTTTCGAGTTATTTTTGATTTATGAAACTCTTGATAAAGGAAAATTTAGATACAGGAAATGTAGAAGGATTACTGTGGTAGATGCACTTTTCTTTATAATTCTTAATTATATCGGAGGTCGAATGAAAATTGATGAAACTTTTTAATGTTTACATTCCATTTTTAATCTACATTGGATTCCCGATAGATTCAATATAGTTTCATTAAAGTTTCCTTATTACAAGCTGAGCTGCGAAAATATATTTTCAACGTGAACGTTTGCCAATCCTCTCAACGCTATCAAAGCGGGTGACGTAGAACACGCTTACTGTCACCTAGCACCTGTTGTGGGGAAGATGACGAAAATATTATATGTGGTGGACAAAGCATGATTACAGGGAGGGAACACTATAATTTGGCTAACACGTATAATCAATTTGAAGTGACCCCGTGGATGAAATCCAACAAAGTTAAAAGGGTAGATCGAACAATTTAAAAATATCATGGATGAGGCCAATTTCATATAGAAAACTATTTCTGCAGGGCTGTTCATGTAATAATATGTTACATAACGCGGTTGAAGTAATTTTGAAATTCTAATGAACTCATCAATAAGGACGAAGGAAAATTAGATTTCATAAATATTAATGCTAATAATTTATTACGATTGAAAACGACCCGTAACATTTTCTTAATAAACTGTTCTTCACAGTTAACAAAAAATTTGGGAGAAAATATAAAATAATCACCTCAGCAATGTTAATGAAAAAATAATTTAATGTAAAAGTTTAAGAGTTGATTCTTCACGATAATACAAGACGAATATCAAGGATAAGAAAATTGCGATTTCTGCTTTGTTTTTAAGTTATTGAAAAAAAGAGATCCGCCAATAGCGAAGCGAGAATGTATCCTCGGTCTCTGTCCCTCGCGCTGTACGTCAACGCCCGCGCGCGCACTGACCTACCTCACGTGAGTCATGATTGGCGTATCGTCAGATGCAAAGAGATGTTCGATCGTTAATAACCTGAAAACAACGCTAAAATAGGGATTTTTTTATTCTTGATTTTCGTATTATATTATCGTGAAGAATTGATCCTCAAATTTTCTAGCATTTGTTGTGGAAAATCCTATTTGTTTAGGAGGTATAATACATAATAAACTCTCGAAAATTTTACTGTAGAGATAAAAGATTACTAAAAGATAAACAAAGAACTTCCTCCTGAGCTATTTTATTTTAGAAGAAACTTCTCATTTAATAACAATTATAAAGTCAACACTATTCAGCGAAAAGTTCTCAAAAACATTAAAAATATTTAAACAAAACAAACTTCTCTCCTCGTCGTGAGAATTTTTCTCGGCAATTATTTAGGCAAAAGCATCAAGGAACGCAACTTTTGAAAACACAATACTTCCCCTAATAAAACTTCAACATTTTCCCACTCTAATCCTACAACTCAACCAATTATAACAAGACACCCTATACGCAACAGTTTATAAATCCAAATTCTTATTTCGAATAATACGAAACATTGGATTTCTTGTCCACTATTAATTCTCGTTACGAACAGATCATTCAGCTGATTACTAATATATTTCAAACTTACAAATTTTTGAAAGAGAAATCTTCTTATTGCAAACGTGTTAACAAATATACAAGCAAACGTTCTCCGAAAATTTCAATTTAAATTTAAAAAACTTACTTCTTTTTTAATCCCACATTGCCAAACTAATAGCGTTCTACGACTAACGGACACTTTAATTCACCGTGTTAAACGGTAGGCAAAATTCGGCTGGCAGTGAACGCGTTAACCTTCAAGACAGTCCACAGCGAGAGATGCGAGGAGAGAAAAATAGGGTATCCCGAAGAAGACGCGCGCGCTCTACGAATTCAATGAAGTAATAACGGCAATCAGCTGATGTTCGCGTGGTTCTCGATCAGCAGGCCCGTATAAGGCGAATCCGAGGCGGTCAGTGTCACACGGTTGTACCATGGACACCGGGGCAAACGATTAAAGCATCCCGACATGACTAGGCACGTACACAGGCGCGCGTGACGCACACGTACGCCGTGATCGAGCTGGTCTAGTTTAGCGGCGTGGGATCGGACAACGACTTTCACATGCTAAAATTAGTCGAATAACGCCACGTGACAATTCGTAAAAGACGCCGCCACCATCGTCGACGCTGAGGCGACTCGGACGACGAACGAGATTCATTATTGATGAGTCCACCTCAGTCAAGTGTAACAGGTTACCGTTTCCGGTCCACGTGTCGGCTATAGCCTGGCCGACATCCTGTTAAGGACTCATCGTCAGTCAGAAACGTGGGGCTACGAAATTGTTATGGTAGATAGCTTTGATTGATCTAGCCGCGGTTCGCGGGATGGGCTAACTTAAGCTGATTTGGTCAACGAACTGCTAGATCGCTTGGTGGCTAGGCTGAGGAATTAGGTTGATTGATCAGTTTTTATTTTTTTCTTAGCTAATTCTCTGTTGATTTTATTTCCTAGCTTTTGATATTTTTGTTATTAACGTTATTAATGTAATAATCGTTAAAGTAATTATAAATATCTTTGATAATATATCTTCAAAATTATTTTATTAGTAACTTCTACTGTTGCTGTAAAATGTTCCTGTATTTAGGTGAACATTAATTTAAGAAATAGAACTTATAAAATACAAGTAAGTATATGAAAGTGTATATAGAATTATATAGAAATTCTTAATAAATAATGAAATGTGACATATTAAGTTATATATGATAATAATTTCTGTTACTATTTATCAAAATGATGTATATTTATAGATGAGGAATGAAAGATGATAAATAGAAAAGGCGAGAGCTATTAATGCAAACTCGTACTACTAAATGATGATGTGCTATCTCTGCGATGATGCAGGACTGATTGATAATCTCAATTGCAAAAGTGCGGCATAATAAGAACCATATTTTATACGCATAGCACTGTTTGCATCGATCAATTGCATTGTATGTATATACAGTATGAAGTGTCCGAGCAATCGTTGCAGTTAAGAAAAAGAAGATGTTGCAAGGAAGCTTGATTTACAAGCTAAAATTAAGTAAAAGAAAGAACTAGCAAGATACAAAGGAACTGTATTAATTAAGAGCAACAGCTTTCCCTTTCTGTGCGTGCAGATGGCGATTAAATGGATGCCGATTCCATTCTGATAAACCGATTGACCCCTCGAATTCATGTCACTAACAATATTTCTTATCTGAAACTTCTCTATCAATATATATTTCTATTTATACATCAATTCATTGTTACATCCTTGCAAATTGATTCTTTTCAAACAATTTAAAATCTTTATATTTCCAACTATTTATTAGCCTAATGTTCTATACTTCTTTTATAGTAATTTCTAGATTCATTTTGTTGTAATCAGTACAGTTTAAGTTTTATTATATAATTATCATTCACAGAATATATTTATAAGTAAAAGTAAAATTCATAAATGCAATGTTTGGTGTCCAGTCTTTGGCAGGAATAAGTTGACAGAAATTTGAGGGGTCAATCGAACGGTAGGACAATGAAGTGGAGAAAATAATATTTTATTTAAGAGGAGCATTAATTCTTCCTCCAGCACAGTTACCTTATTGGAGGAAGCACTACAGATGCATCTTTCATCGTAAACAAGCGGCTAATGTCTACTAAGGTACTCGGATTCAAGCGACTCTCGTTAATTTCAGAGAGATCTAATTCCAAGTGCGCGTTGCATTTGTATACTATGTTACAAAGAAACCCTGAATGTGCTCCCATTAGGTTCTTACACATTATAGAGTTCCATGTTCAGAACTTGCCCAGATTATTTTCCGATTTTCATGCCACAAAGTGTTCGTTCTCGAATGATTGAAATTCAAGCACGTGTGTGAATTAGGGTGACCATGCTATTCGGTGACATATAAATTTTATTAAAATAAATAAATCTGTCATTAAGATGAAGTTTAATGAACTTAAGTAATATATGTGAAAATACGCGATATTAAAATTAATTTTATATTTTATGTATTTGCATTATACACATTATGTACAAATGTTCAAAATGTACTAAAAAATTACATCAAATTTGTAATGATCAACAAAAATTAGAATTTTATAATAAAACGAAATACAAAATACGAAAAAATATCTTTCTATCATAATCTTTCAATCCTTTATACTCTAGAGATAACTCTCTATCACTTGATTGTGATACAGCAAAATTATATATATATATAAGCTTTATATAATACATCAATACGTGAAATATCGAAATAAAATAGCTTTGTTTCTTAACTTATGTATACTTTCCCATTACTTATAATAATTTCTATGTCCACATTTCATCAGAAAATATCGAATATTCCTACCAAAAAACTTTCGAGTGCAAAGGATCGATAAACTATCCATTACACCCTATATATTCTACATCAATTATCATCGACAAAAAATCACGAAAAACAAGAAAAAAATGTCGGTCACCCTAAAAAACACTCGAATGCGAATCGATCCGACAAGCGTCGGACGTAACAGGGGAAAACGGAAAACTCTGACTCACCTTGGAAAGTTTCTCGCCCTCGTGGTGCGGCAGCAGGGTCCTGAGCGACTGGAAACCGGCGTTAATGCTCTGCATCCGACGCCGTTCGTTACTGTTGGCGATTTCTCGCCGCATACGCTTCTCTTGCTCCATGTGGCTACGCGGTGTAACGCGGCCGACGTTGCTGGTGCTATTCCCGTTGCTCAACGCAACGTTCTGACCAGCAACACGGCGTGATACCGCGCCGTTGCTCTTCGATTGCTGTTGCTGTTGCTCCTGCGAATCAGCAATCTCGGCGACCGTCACGCTCGTGGTCACCGAGCCGTCCTCCACTGTACCGATACCTCTGGAACACAGATCGATTCCCTTCAGTATTCATCCTCGTCGGTTCGTTTAACACGTTCGCCGCTGTGACGGTCACCGGTGACCGTCGATCAGATTTACGTCTACGACTGATGCAAACGACGCGTTGACGAATGGGTCGCCATTGATTGTGGTTAATAGTTATGTTTGCGATGGTCACCGATGGGGGATAGGGAAATAATGTTACGTGTCATCTTTTTATGTCGTTAGATGGTGTAACTCAATTTAATATCGTATTTATATTGTTCCTGTTGATGAAAGACAAACTAATTGTAACGCGGGATAGGAGTTTACGAGAATAATTGCTGATAAATATGTTAGAGGGATATTATACTGAGAAAAGTAAAGATTGAATTAAATTCTTACAAAGGAACTTGAAATAATGTGCCTGACACAGAATTTTAAAGAATCGAATTGAAAATTTGCAGCTATCGCGACACATATCCTTACAAATGTGGTTAACAGAATAAACCATCAGTTCAATCTAAAATTTATTATTTCCGTTCCCCTGCATACCATTAATTATCATTCCTACCAAAAATATAATTCTACAAGTTCACACACTGATCATCTAAAAATCCGAAACATGAAATCCCAGTATCCCAACCTTTAAAAAAGCCTCACTTCATCAATGTCCAGTTCATTCTTCAAACGAATCCTCGACCCTTCTACAAACTAAATCCCACCAATCACAAATGATACTCGTTCACCCAAAACAGCATTCGAATTGGCTAAATCAATCAACGCCGCAAAACCAAAAAGACAACAAAGAGGAAGCTCAAGCCGAAACAAGACGCGAAGACAAACACCGAGCAAACTTGCTCAATATCTTTAAACGTTGGGGGTGGGAAGGAGGTTGTCGCGACAAGAATATTATAGCGGACGCATTCATTTGATAGAGCGAGCGACAAGAGGCGGGTGGCGAGTCTCTTGTAAAGCATTTTGGCGCGAGCGGCCAAAGAGATCCCGAAAATCAAAGAGACGAGACAGAGGACGGGGGTGAGCGCAGAGATTCTCGCGGCGTGTGTGCGTGTGCGCGAGAGCCCGTATGACAGTCCATGTTTCGCCCGGTTCTGCGGCCGGAGACTGAATATTTGATTTACAAGCAGATACGAGAGCATAGAAAACCGGCGAACGTCGGACCGGGAAATATAAAAACCATCCCTCCTACCACCCATCCCCTTCGCCGGTCGTCTGTCTGGGTTCCCAAGGGCTTTTAAGGAAATTGAAAGCGTCGAGGCTGTTTGTTTCATGGATCTAACACGGCCGGCCGCGAGTTATCGCCAGATAAACTCTCAGTCAATGAAGCACGACATCATTATCGTTCTGTGGTTACAGAACAGCACACCACGCGGACAGTCCACCGGCCGCACGCAATTTCCCGCCTGCCTAGTGTTAGGCGTTCCACCTATTTCCAAACGCTTTTTACGAGGTCGCTACCGTTTAACCGTTTGCGGTTCCGATTTACTTTCGATTTTTTTTTCGGTGTCGAGGTCGAGAGTTGAGCAGGATTTGTGATACAGGTGTGTGGGTAGTTGGCGTATGATTGGGTTTGTGTTTACTGGGGAATTTGAGTTTGTTTGGATTTTTGTGTTTTGTTTAGTGAATTTTGAATGGTAGAAAAATGTATGTTTTAATGAGCATTGAATGTATTCACTTTTATTGCTTGATAATTATTGTAGTACTGAATTTTCTACGCAGTTTAAAGTATTGTACGTTACATTAAAGTATTGAATTTATAGTGAGAGAAAATCAAATGTTAACTTCACGCATTTTATTCTCTGGTTTAAATGAATTAGCTGATCATCTAAAATAAATACATCTACGCATATGAAGAATGTAATTTTAAAATAAAAATATCATTAACCATACAAAAATCGTTCTTATTCTGTCCCTTCAAGTAAAATAAAGGATCAAAGGAAACAAAGCATGCAATAGAAACTTCATTTAAGTAATTATTAGAATAAAATTCGTTTGAATAATGCTCAATTTTCTAATGTACTTGATTTGTTTGTATTATTTTCAGTCTACGGGGAGTTGGTGCTTACAGAAGAAATCCCCTAGACGGTAAAACTGGCGTACCATCCAGTGAATGGAGATAATGACTATTTCCCAACGAAGAACCGAATGTTTTTTCCCTAAGGAAAACGAAGGAAACGTGTTCAGGGCTTGCTGGAAAACATCTGGTAGAATTTCACGGAACAAACACGTAGGAGATAGTAAGGGAGGCAGAAAAAAGATCGGGATGGCGGATGTGAAATGAGTCAGTGAGGAAAGACCGTGACCTTGTGGCCTGCTCGCTGTACATTCGTTCAATACGTGCCGATAATACTAGAATACCTCTCTCTATATACATATATATATATATATATATATATATATATATATATATATATATATATATATATATATACATATATATATATATATATATATATATATATATATATATATATATATATATATATATATATCTAAATACATTAAAACATAATCAACTGGTAATACGTTTGAAAAGTTACAAAGTGCACAAATGCGCTAAAAAATCTGAAAATAAATTGATATACTTCATTAAAGTGTAAAATGGTCCCCATAGGTGAACAGAAACTGTAACTAATTAGAACCAGAGAATTTATGTAAGACTGAACTCAAATAAAAATTTATATTGAGAATTTTCATATACTTAATTTTAATTTAATGTTAAAAAATGAGAAACGCTTTATTGAAAACTTTACTACTTTCGTTAGAAAAGTTATAATTGAATATTAATTATAATATAGTATATGAAAAAACGAAGAAGAAAATTAAAGAAAATATTAGGCACGTTTGAAGTAATATTTGAAATATCGTTACATCTTACTCGATTTCGCAATTATTTTGATTCTAAAATACAATTCTGATATCTTATTTCGGAAAATAATTTGAAACGTTAATAGAAGAAGGCTTACCACTTCTTCGTTTTCCTAATTAATACTACTATAGTAAACTCTTCGAAAAAATGAATTCGCTCGAAACTAACGCTTACAAAAATTCGAAGTAAAATTTCTGAATGGTAACATTCTCTCGATGGGATCCATAATTTCGAAGCGAAGGAACTAATGAAGTCTTTCATTCATTTCTCATATAATAAAAAAGATGTTCTAAGAATTTCGAGATAGCGGACTTCCGGTGCAGCATGGGTCGAGAGAGCCACGTGGTCTAATGGGACTCCACATGGCATTCTCTCATCGAATGGATACAACATTGGATCAGCTGGTACGCCAACGGCCGGATGGTCGGCTGTGACGTCAGCTTGTTGGATACCCGCTAAGCTTGGATCAGAACGGCGGAAGTAGGTCGTCTAAGTAGGTGGCTACCTTCTTCCTTTTCATCGTGAGCCTTATACACACCCCTTTTCACCGGGGTAAACATAATCTTCGCTTAACGAACCGGCGTTAATCGACACGGCGCGAATTATTCAGAAGTGTGCTCTTGTTCATAGAATTCGGAATGGAATTCGGTGTTGGCGATGATCATTGATCGATATGTTATTTAAACAGACCTATGGTAACTTATATTCACTTAAAATCAGTGGTCATTTATTTTTACGATAACCCTGACATAAAAATAAACATTACAAAGAATTAGAAGAAATTTTTTACTGTTATTTATAGATTAAAAGAGATGAATTCACACTTGCGACATTAATGTTGATGTCTATATTTATTCTGAAGTTCTTTCTTTATTCTAAAATTCTTTGGAGTTCAAATAACATATTATTTCCCTGTTATCGACTACTATATACTGTAGAGAATACATGGACACAGAGTACACCTAGAATTTTTTTGTTCCTTCAACAATTTATTACAAAATAGTTGCATCAATCATAATTAAAGACGAACTCACAGAAATCCAATAAGGAACATTTACACAAGACTCCAAAGAAAAAGTCGAAAAGCATTTCAGTCCCTATATCGCGACGTTTATTCATCTCAAGCTACATCTTCGCAAAACAGCCATGCTCAAAGTATCATCAGCCGGTTAACAGATTAATCCTAACGTGACGGATTCAGTATGCATACCACAGTGGATTCCCACTGAAGCTTCGTTGATCGTCGAAGCAGGTAACTCCGCAGAGGCGTGCGAACCTCGTCACGCGGCGTACGTGGTACATGTGAAAAAGCGCGGCTGATACATACCGCGTTATCACACAGAGACACACGTACCAAGTATAAACTAAGCAAACAACTATGCCCCTCTCCACAAACACAGTGGTACAGTCACACGCACAAGACGCGCACACTCGAATAAGACAAATATAGAGTCCAACACGGAGGAATCTCTCTGCCACGTAGCCACTCTGGCCTGCGATGCACGTGTATGCGTCGATTCACCGGCTACACTATCATCATATATATCACTAGCATATCGCGCGGCCCATCGTACGTGTGTGTCGGTGAGCGGTGTGAGAGAGACTGTGGCCGATTGTGTGTATCCCGGCCGGCGTGACTCCGGCACTCGCGTGAGTCACCAACAGCTGACGGCTGGCGCCACTCAGCTGGTTCTTACCGGTGCCTTCGCACGAGCCTCGCTATCTCTGCTCGCCTATCAGCTGCGAGCGGCTAGGAAACGACCGGAAAGTATGATCTTGCTCGCTCGTGGGAAAAAAGGGGGAAGGCCGCGGGAAAGACGACGCTGTAGCGTCGGCGTTTTCGATACCGCCATTTTTCTCTTGGCTAGAGGCTGAAGCTGGGATATCACTTTGCAGCTACACTGAGGAACAAGGGTTTGATCTCTCGGTTTTTATTTGTTCTCGCTTTGTTTTCGATGATAATTCGCTGTTCGTTAATGAGGTTGTAGGTAAGAAATTGAAACTTTAGGTAAAACACGTAGCGAGAGACTCCTTTTGTCTACCGCTAGGCTTGTCACTAGGTATGAAGTCAGATAGCCAGAGTGAAATTAGAAGGTCGCTACATGGCTTGACTGAGGGATGTGCGTTTGATG